CAACAGTTTCATAAACAAACCAAAACTGAATTTTGAAGTTACCGGTGACGTGGCAAACTGTATGCAAATAGTGCGCGATCGTGGGACAAAAACTCTACATTTAAAGCAAACTGCATACGTCCGTAATGTGCTCGAAAAGTTTAACATGAGTACATGCAACCCCAGCTCAATACCAGCAGACCCCGGTGTAGTGTTGAAGCGTAATCCAAGTGAAGGTGGTACCGATGCACCTTATCGACAAGCGATCGGATCGCTAATGTATTTGGCAGTGGCTACGCGTCCGGATTTGGCGTTTTCAGTGAGCCAATTAAGTCAACATTTGGAGCATCCATCTGAAGTACATTGGCAAGCTGTGAAACGAGTGTTCCGGTACTTACGTGGAAGTATGGACACTGGAATTACGTTTAGTGACCAAAGGGGAAGTATAAATCAACTCGTTGCATACTCAGACGCGGATTACGCGTCGGATGAAGATCGAAAATCGATCAGTGGCGTCGTCGTAATCCTTAACGGTGGACCAGTCAGCTGGATGTCAAGGAAACAAACGATTGTGGCTGACTCTACAACGTACGCAGAGTATGTAGCAGCGTACATGGCGACGAAAGAAATTATTTGGGTTCGCGGACTTTTAGCCGACTTGGGTGTAGTGCAACGACAACCGACGATTGTGCACATGGACAATGCGGCTGCTGAACATTTGGTGCGAAACCCTGTTCATCATCGACGCACCAAACATATCGATGTCAAGTTCCACTACACACGTGACGCCTATCAACGGGGAGAGATTGATATCAACCACGTTGGGACAACGGAACAACTGGCGGATATGTTCACGAAACCGCTAAGCCGTGATAAATTTGCCAATAATTTAAAATTGTTGAATTTACATTCAGTTTAAGAGTTATTCTCTTAAGTATTATTTTATTTGTGTGTTCTAATTTTTATTTTGTTTGTTTATTTAGTTCATCTGACCAGAGCGAGTGGGAGTGTTGCAATATGTCAGAATTAGATACGCTCTGGCCCAGTACCGGTGCGACACTTGTGTGGTTGAAAGTCTGGACCCTTTTGTCTTTGTCGGCGTTTCACGGCAAATCGACGTCCAGATGTCGAGACCTTTTTTTTACTAAGTTAATAAATACCTTCGCTAGTGTTAACATCGTTGGCCTTTTATTTTTCGCACTTTAAATACGCACATAAATTAACATATACTAATTGCACCTTTGACCAAATTAATAAATAAATGTATTGTTGACTCGGTTTTTCCAGACTGCTTAAAATTGGCTTTAGTATGTCCAATATACAAAAAAGGTAATGTCAATGAAGTTGATAACTATCGACCAATCTCCCTTCTTCCAGTGTTGTCTAAAGTGTTCGAAAAATTAATGTTAGAACAAATCCTTGAATTCTTTATTAGTAATAACTTGTTTTGTACAAATCAGTTTGGATTTCGAAAAGGCTTATCCACTGAAAAAGCTGTTCTATCTTTTATTGATAATGTCGTTAAATCCTTTCAAGATGGTGAATATTTTGTGTCTGCCTTTCTAGATCTTAGTAAGGCATTTGACTGCATGTCTCATGAAATACTAATCCGTAAACTTTTTTTTTACAACTTTCACCCAGATGCCACTAGATTAATTTCATCGTATCTTTTGAATCGATTGCAAGTATCTCTGTTGATGGTATAGTCTCCGATAAAGAACAAATCGCGTATGGTGTACCTCAGGGGTCCATCTTAGGGCCTCTACTTTTCTTAATTTATGTGAACGATCTGCCATACTTTTTCCCTGATTTTTTTACGATATTGTACGCGGACGATACTAGTAAAAAGGCAATGTCATCTTCATTAGTAATAAGTACTCTTATGAATATATCTTCGCAAGCGGAACCTTGGTTTTTCGCCAACAAACTTTGCGTAAATAAGAACAAATCAGTTCAGATGGTATTTTCATTGAAGAAAGATAAGTCTTTTGCGGATACGAAAAGTACTAACAAGTTCCTCGGAATTGTTCTAGATACTAAATTACTTTGGCATGAACATGTGGATTATATTGTTCACATCATTTCTAAAAATACTTATCTCTTAAGAAACTTATCAAATCATGTTGATCAAAATATATTAAAAATTGCATATTATGCGCTAATACAATCTCACTTAGTATATGGTATACTAATCTGGGGACACAGCGCCTCGTCACAAAACCTTTTTAGGCTTCAAAGAAGAGCTATTAGAATCCTTTCAGGTATTGGTTATCGTAATGATTGCAAATTTTCATTTCAATCCTTAAATATTTTGACATTGCCCTGCTTGTACATCTATCACTGTTTTAAATTTTTAGTAAACCAAATTAATCAATTTCCTACACTGAGTTCTTTCCATGACTATAATACCAGGTCCACAAATTTGTTAATCGAAAATTTGAGAATAAACCGTTGCAGAACTGCCAGGAACTATTTCTGTATAGTGTTCTTTAACAAATTACCTCAGAGTTTCCGCAACCTTCCACCATCTCAATTTCTAAAAAAAAATCAAGGATGTCTTAACCGAAAATAGTTTTTATAGTTTCAATGAATATTTTCAATATAATTTTGAGTAATTTCTTGTTTATCATGTAGCTAGCTCATAATCTACATAAGTATTGTATTGCATGGTTTTTATGTTTATTTTTACTATTACATTCTTGTAAACTTTGGACGAGTGTATAAACTTTATGTTTTTAGCACAATAAAATTACTTACTTACTTACTTACTTACTTACTTACTTACTTACTTACTTACTTACTTACTTACTTACTTACTTACTTACTTACTTACTTACTTACTTACTTACTTACTTACTTACTTACTTACTTACTTACTTACTTACTTACTTACTTACTTACTTACTTACTTACTTACTTACTTACTTACTTACTTACTTACTTACTTACTTACTTACTTACTTACTTACTTACTTACTTACTTACTTACTTACTTACTTACTTACTTACTTACTTACTTACTTACTTACTTACTTACTTACTTACTTACTTACTTACTTACTTACTTACTTACTTACTTACTTACTTACTTACTTACTTACTTACTTACTTACTTACTTACTTACTTACTTACTTACTTACTTACTTACTTACTTACTTACTTACTTACTTACTTACTTACTTACTTACTTACTTACTTACTTACTTACTTACTTACTTACTTACTTACTTACTTACTTACTTACTTACTTACTTACTTACTTACTTACTTACTTACTTACTTACTTACTTACTTACTTACTTACTTACTTACTTACTTACTTACTTACTTACTTACTTACTTACTTACTTACTTACTTACTTACTTACTTACTTACTTACTTACTTACTTACTTACTTACTTACTTACTTACTTACTTACTTACTTACTTACTTACTTACTTACTTACTTACTTACTTACTTACTTACTTACTTACTTACTTACTTACTTACTTACTTACTTACTTACTTACTTACTTACTTACTTACTTACTTACTTACTTACTTACTTACTTACTTACTTACTTACTTACTTACTTACTTACTTACTTACTTACTTACTTACTTACTTACTTACTTACTTACTTACTTACTTACTTACTTACTTACTTACTTACTTACTTACTTACTTACTTACTTACTTACTTACTTACTTACTTACTTACTTACTTACTTACTTACTTACTTACTTACTTACTTACTTACTTACTTACTTACTTACTTAATAAATGAAAACTCTCTCTCAAGTAGAAAATATATGGCGTGTCTAACTTTTCTACAAAAAATAATATTTGGTACAATTAAAAGTGCTGAACTTCTTGGTAAAATAAAAATAAATGTAAACAGAATTATTAGTAGACACGCATTCACATTTTTTTATAAAATTCCTAAGACATTTCATCATTACAACTCGCCTCTTCTAAACTGTTTCAAATTGTATAACTGTGTTAGTGATAAATTTGATATTTTTTTTGATAATGTCTGTAACCGTAAATTTAAAAATATTCTTCTTATGCACTACAATCAGTAATAGCAATTATCTCAGCTCTCAGTATTTGATTATGTGGATATTTATTGTTTATTTATTTTTTTTTCCTTTATTATTACTATTATTATTAAGTTCGCATATACTTATTTGTATTTTTGTTCCCATAAGGACGTTAAATATCTGTGGGAAAATAAACTACCATTATTATTATTATTATTATTATTATTATATAAAGATCGGTAACGGATAATATAAAGTGTAATGAAATATTTGATGCAGGATGGTTGTCATCTTCTGGTACAAGGAGAAGATCCGCCTGTTTTACAGAGCAATGAAAATTAGAGAATAGCAGATCTAAAATGCGATTGAATTTCTTATACGGAGAAAAATTTTGAAAATTCGCAAAATTTTTGAGAAAGAATGTGGCTCTATTACCTAAATTGGCTGAAAAATCTAGTACGTTAACCAAGAACAACGACATTGTCCATACGAAAATTATCTGGAAATAATCATCAAACTCCTTATGGAAGTTACTATATAGTTAATAAAGTTAATTTAAATTGTCATAATGGAAAAAATAAACTATTAATAGGTATAAAGAGAAAACACAGACCTACAAATATTTATTTTTAACTAAAATAACAACGTTTTACGGTTGTTAGCAAAGAACAAACGCCAAACACGTAAGTCAAAACTACATTCAAAACATCGTAACTGAGTCAAAACACAAACATTTTAATTGTAAACACCAAGAATAAATTTATCTTATCGTAGTACAGATGCACTGGAATCACTTGATATTTTTGTCAGGTATGCACTTATCGCGTTAAATAAATATTTTTGTGACTAACCTAAGACAATGTAAGCAATTTAGGACAAACATCTTTTAAATCCGTTCGTCTCGACTACGTTAATATTTTAAGCCCCAAACCACCTCATAATAAAAAAAACAACAATTTTTTTTTAGTACCAAAGAGTCCGTAATATAAAAACACCCTACCTCAGTACAGAGGCAGTTCAAACCACTCTGCCTAAACATGAAAACCATAATTCTATCTATCTGTGTTTTGACAGTTTTGAGTTTCTCTTACTGTACACATTTGCGTAAATATATAATTTTGGTGATTATTTTTTCACTTAAATTGTAATTTTTAAGCATTCAAAAAATGCAACATCAAGCGGCCGAATTTTGAAAAATGTTTGAGCCACGCCATCCAGGACGTCATCACGCAGTTGGACAAACCAATCCCCGCAATGAGTTTACCCTCCATGGATCCATGGAAACTGGAAACTCTGAACTTGGACATAGGGAATGCTTCTGAGGGTTTGCAACAGATATGGAGGAATGTAACAGTTCGGGGTTTTAGCAAACCCACTGCTACAGATGCAAGGTAATCATTAACAATGGGGTCTAAAATTTTGTAAATATTATTGATTTATTTCTTCACTAGGTGGACTCCCGGGTCTGTCATCACCTTAGATCTCGCAGTAAGCTACGACTGTGCCATAGTTTTCACCACCGAGTACGAAGCCCACGGCGCAGTTCTTCTTCTCCCGGTTGACGTGGTTACGTCATTTCGTTGCGATTTTGTGAAAGGCGGAAAAATTAAAGTAACATACAAAATCCAAAAACCTAAAAAAGCGAATGGACATTTTAAACTGATTAGTACCAAGGTTGTATTTGAGCCGAAGAAGGTGAAATTTAATGTTAGTGAATTCTTTGAAAATCAAAGTCTAACAGCTGCATTAAACTCGGAAATGAATAAAAATTGGGAAGGAAGCTGGAACGTCCTCAGCGCGTTTGTGGGTGTTTATGACCCATTTTTTGATGCATTGCTTAGAGGCGTTTTGGAAAAATTTCCAGCTGATCAAATTGTCGGCGGTCTGGACTAGAATGGTGTGTTGCTCCGGACTACAGTATGTTTAATATGTATATGTTAAAAATGAACGAATTGTGAAATTATCTACAAATCATGAATTAAAAAAAAAAAAAAATAAATAGTAGGTAGACAAATTGTGCTTCATTTATAAGTATATTTTTCCGATTTTACATTCTCTCGATCTGTTAATGTTTTTTTATAAAATATGATAATGCGCTTCCTATTTCTAACAATGATTTCAATGATTTTTCGGACCGACGACCTAAAGTAACATGCATATACCAAAACGTTAGGGGTTTCAATTCTAAATTAACCTCTTTCTATAATAATATTCTAGCGCTTTCTGATGAGTTTGATATTTTTGTTTTGCACAACGATGTATCAAACGCAGAACTGTTTCCTGATGATTTTGCAGTTTACCGTTGTGATCGAAACTTTAAACGTTTAGGAAATACCAGAGGTGGTGGTGTCCTGATTGGTGTAAATAATACTAAACTGACGTCTATGAAAATTGATGTTAGTAACATTGTTGAAACCGTTCCCTCTATTGACCTTATAGGCGTCAAGGTAAAAACATCCTATTATCAAAATCTCTTGGTCTTTGCCGTTTACATTCCGTCTTGGACAACTTTTCAAGATTACGAAACATTTTTCGAATATGCTGGTATTATTGACTGCTCTTTTTCTAGGAGACTTTAATACATCCACGTATTGCAGTAATATTAATAATAACTACAGTCAATGTTTGAATCACTTTTTTGTAGAACTTACCAACTTTACTCAATATAATAATGTAAGTAATTGTTTCGGTAATACTTTAAATCTTATATTTTCTTCTTCCTCTTGTCATGTTGAAAAGTCTAGCGTCCCTCTAGTGCAAGAAGACGCATTTCATCGCCCATTAGAATTTGATATACATTGCAACATTAAAAAGGCTGATATCTTTTGTTTAAATTCAAACAATTATATCTGTAACTTTAAAAAAACGGATTATCCTGGTTTATATAATGCATTATTACATATTAATTGGTCTGAGCTTGGAAGAATTAAAGATGTTAATTTAGCTTGTCAACACTTCTACACAATTTTATTTAGAACTTTTGATTTATACATACCAAAGACTGGAGGTTTCAAAAGAAAATACCGTCATTATCCACCTTGGTTCGATAAGGATATTATAAGAAGTCTTCGATTAAAAACCAATATGCGTAAAACATTTCTGTCGAATCATTATCCTCAGACATATATTGAATTTAAGAGAGTCAGAGCAGATAATAATAATAATAATAATATTTATTGATTCCAACAGGATACACCCACTTACCGGAATCAAGTAAACACAAGAGTTACATTGTACTAAGTACATAAAAGAATTAGAAGAATTAAATAACATAACAGTGATTGTAATAATGATAACAACTACTTAAATTATACCATAAATTAATTAACTAAATTACTTAAATTAATAACTGATAATATATAATTCAATAACTACGACTACATCTGTATGCTGTATTTGAATGAGCTGAATACACGCAAATCGTTTAAAGTTCTACACTACTACAAGTCTTTCATACAGGAACAAACATAATTTACAGAATCAAAAAATATGTCACAACTGCTAGCAATACCATTGAAAAGAGAGCACATTAAGGCAACAGGAGATCTAGCTAGTGCGTTGGTACGAGAAGCAGAAATGTAAAATAACACATGTTGGCGAACTGCAGAAGAACGAGGCACTAAAAAATTTATTTTGCCAAGAAGTGAAGGGCAGTCTAATTTATTATTGAGTAGGTTGTACAAAAATCTTATTGTTAAAATATTGCGACGTGTATAAAGAGATCAAATATTACACCTATCTAGCAGAGTAGAGTGATTGAAACCCTGAGGAGGATATACAGCATCTTGTTTAAAAGCCAACCATTTAAGAAATTTTCTTTGAACGGCCTCTAGACTACCACGATGAACTGCGTAAATTGGAGACCAGATAACAGCTCCATATTCCAGCCTCGAACGCACTAGGGAACAAAAAAATAATTTCAAAGTGCTTTCGTTATGAAAGTCACTGCAGTTTCGGTAAATAAATCCATAAGTTTTATATGCCTTAGTGATAATCTCAGTAATATGTTTTACAAAAGTTAATCTATTATCAAATACAACACCCAAGTCCTTAAAGCTGTCTACGCGTTCCAAAACAGATCCATTTATGTTGTAATCAAAGTAAGTAGTCTGATTTCTTCGTGTGTATGAAACAACTTTGCATTTTGCGATGTTCAGTTTCAAGCGATTCTCCGTACACCATGTACATGCAAGATCTAGACACATTTGTAAAACAACACAATCTTGTATACCATTTATCTTAGTGAAAAGCTTAAAGTCATCCGCAAACATTAATTTCTGACAAGTAATATTATTAACTAGATCATTAATAAAAAGTAAGAATAGCAGAGGCCCCAAATTTGATCCTTGTGGTACACCCGACGTTGGAACAAAAGGCTTAGAAGTGAAATTTCTATACTTGACACAAAATTGTCTCTGACGCAAATAGGAACAGAAAAGTTTAATTAAGGATTGAGAGAAGCCAAAGTGATTTAATTTTTCCATCAATATAAAATGATCTATTTGATCAAAAGCCTTTGTAAAATCGGTATATATCACATCGCATTGCCCTTTATTATCTATGATTTCTGATACATACTGAGAAAAAATGGCCAAATTCGTAATCGTCGATCTTTTCTGAGTAAAGCCATGTTGATGTATAGAAATTGACTGCTTACTTTGATTATAAATATCAGAATATAAAGTTGTTTCAAATACTTTGGCGAAATTGCAGAGTAGAGAAATACCTCTGTAATTGGTAACATCACTTGGATTTCCTTTTTTTAGAATCGGACATATATACGCATGTTTCCATAAAGAAGGGAAAACTGAGTGCTTAAGTACAAGATTAAATAATACACTTAACGGATGTGCTAGCGACCATGCACAGTCTTTAAGTATGAAAGAAGAAACGCCATCAATTCCCATTGTGAGGGAGTCCTTTGATCGTTTCAGAATTTCCTCCTGTGATGAGATCGGAGAAGCGATAATTTGTGTAGAAGATCTAATTTTAGGGGGTGGTTGTGTGTGGTCCCTAGGAGTAGAACAAATAAAGACACTGTTGAAATATTCGCCAAAAGCATTAACGATGTCTGAGGGGGTAGAGAGTTCGGTACCGTCATACACCATAAGACCAGGAATTCTGGTAGTCCCTTTTTTGGATTGAATAAAAGCCCAAAACTTTTTCGGGTCTGCAGAAATAGACTTCTCAGTGTTTGATATGTACCTTTTGTACGCTTCTTCTATAAGATATTTAGATCTTGATCGATGGAGCTTAAACAACTCCTCATACTGGATCGTTCTGTATTTTTTATAATTTTTTAGGCTAAAGTTTTTTGTTGAACGCAACGTATTATTTCACTCGTGAACCACGGAGGATAGTATTCTCTATGCTTAGAAGAAGAGTATTTTGGTATAGCTAAATTAAACACTTCGTAAAGCTTGTTATAAAAATGAAAACAAGCTTTTTCAACGTCGTCTATATTCAGTAGACGAGTCCAATCGATGGACGAAAGACTTTCATAAAGTAAAGGGTAGTTGGCTCGTTTAAAATTATATCCATTGTTACAATTCATCATGTGAAACGAGGGTGTGCCTTGAGTGAAGATATTAGAACACCACCGGGTGGTGTAGATCATCCTTGACTAAATAATATTTGGCTCTATCGACAACACAATAAAAGTTAGAAAAAATTAGATCTAGACAACGATCATTGGAATTTTCAATATGATTGTATTGTTGCAATGAATGTAATTCTTTAAAAAAATTTAATATTGAACAGAATTTATCGTTTGAATTGGAGGAGAAGCCCGGAACATTGAAATCGCCTATAATCAACGTTTGGTGATTTTCCATTAGTATTTCAAGAGACGTAAAAGCATCGAAGAATAATTCATAGTTCTGAGAAGAAGTGTGAAGTGGAATATATAAGACGAAAACTAGTAATTTACGGTTGTTATGACTAGTAATTTTGACACCAACAATATCTATGCAAGGAACAACGTCATTGATGCTCGATAGATCCAATTCAGTGGCTGTGATAGAGCTCCTCACAGCAAGAAGCACCCCACCACCTCTTGTTACCCCTAGAGATTCTAAGGCGCGGTCTTTTCGATAAATAGTAAATATATCTGTGGATAATTCACTGTTCAGGATATCATTGGTTAACCATGATTCGCTTATAGCTACAAGATCAAATTCACACTGTGTAATTGTATTGTAAAAGTTAGCAACTTTAGACCGCAAACCCCTTACATTTTGGTAAAGGATGTTTAAAGACTTGCAAGTGGGTGTTCGCGTTAGTTTAAAGACTTGACTATTTTTGGAATGCCATTAACATGTCGAATTCTCAAGTTGGTTTCACCATTGTTCAACCTAATAATCATGTCGTTTTTGACTTGCTTATAATAGTCAATTTGTCGTGGGGTTTTGTCAAAAGAAATCGATACCTTTTTGTGCTCAGGTGAATTCCGTAAAGTCTTGGCATTCTTTATAAAACTTAGAACTTCCAGGTCATTACGTAAAATGATTTTTATAGGTCTGGCCTTAGTATCGGATCGTCGACCCAATCGTTGAATTTTAATATTATCGTCATCAAAGCTGGGGTTAATACATTTTAAAATATCCTTTACTGACGATTGATCACGCTCAGACGAATGAACTTGGTCGAGTTCGACTTGTTGTTCGTCAACACCGAACATAATCAAATTTTGCTTCCTATTTTGACGCTCCGTTACTTCCGTAACAATATCTTCAAAGCGATCTGACTGTTTGTTGTTGATAGATATTTGTAAATCGTTCAATTTAGCTTCAAAATCAGCTCTTAAGTTGGTGATAGAAGTGGCGATCTCATTTTGAAGAGCGGCAATTGTAGATTTTAGATCTTTAAATTGTGATATATTGTTGTTACAATTGCTGCAGACAACTTTGACAGCTTTGGATTTTGATCTTATCCATTTCACGTCGTTTTCGGATAAACCGATACATTTTAAGTGTAGAGGTTTCTGACATGCATCGCATGGTAAGGGTGATGAGTTAGATACATCTAAGCTACAATTAGGACAAATAAGCATAATGATAAGCAAGACAGGGACACAGAGCTTCACACCCAGGGGCCTATCAGGGTGATTAACTATAAACGTACAGGAAGGCCACGGTTCAGGTGACAAAGAGGTGTGGGTGTGGAAAAAGATTAGCAAAAACAGCAAAAACCCTGTCAGCTGATTTTTACAATTCAGTTGCAGTTGCAATGTAAATTAATGTTTTATACGACAAGACAATAATACGTTTATGAAACTTTACCATATGTAGAATGAAGAGACACGCTATCAGATGTGCCAAATTCAATAATTAACATCGATTATACTCGCAGTTAAAATCACAAAATACGCACAACGAAACACTCGCTACATTCAGCTCGACTCATTGTACTCAAAGTAGATGTTAAAAAGAAAATTTGCATAGCATACACAAAATATATTAGGGATATTGAAAATAAGATTATCACAGACCCCAAGAAATTCTGGTCGTTCATTCATTCCAAACAAGGTAAGACACAAGGAGTACTAACATACGATGGAAAAACTATTTCTAATCCGACAGATATAGTTAACAGCTTCGCTGATTTTTTCAAAAGTGTTTACACTTCTTCCCAGTCTATTAGTGCCGACATGGTTTCAGAAACACTTCCCAATAATTTGACCATCGGTCTGTCTTCTATAACTGAAGATGAAATTATACGGGCTATGAAAGCGGCAAAAAATACAATAACCTCCGGTTTTGATGATATCCCGAGTTTTTTTCTAAGAGATACTGCTTATGTTTTATCAAATCCACTAAGTCATATCTTCAATCTAATCCTTCAAACGTCGACTTTCCCCGAGCTTTGGAAATTAGCACAAATTACTCCTATTCACAAAAAAGGTGATACTTCTCAAATCATCAATTATAGACCAATATATATATTGTGCAATTTTTCAGAAGTGTTTGAGTGCGTTCTCTATACTCACATTTACAACTCGGTACGTAATTTAATTTGACCTGACTAACATGGTTTCATGAAAGCGCGTTCCGCTGCCACGAATTTAGCCACTTTTACGCAATTTACATCGGAAGTAATAGATAGAAATAGTCAGGTAGATGCCATCCATACAGATCTACAAAAAGCGTTCGATCAAATTGACCATAACATCTTACTTCATGAATTAGATCGTATTGGCTTCTCAACCCCGTTATTGGCCTTAATGAAGTCTTATCTCTTTAAACGAAGACAACAAGTTGTAGATGGCGGGCATTTTTCTGAAGTGTACATCTCAACATCGGGAGTCCCGCAAGGCTCAAATCTCGGCCCCCTGCTATTCCTAATATTCATTAACGATGTGACGGATGCACTAGTATCTTGTAATAAATCTTTTGAAGTTAGGTAAAGACAGCAATCACTATAGCCATTTCATAACTGACTATCATGTAACAAAGATAGACAATATTCTCAAGAAAATAGACAATATTTTTTTAAGAGTCACTGACCATCGAAAAATAACACTAAGAATATAAAAACGGGAAGCGTCAGTACGAACGCAGTTCCAAAGTATCCTTGTTAAACATGAAAACCTTTATTGCGTCTGTCTGTCTTTTGACAGTTTTTAGTTTTTGCTATGGTACACAACTGCGTAAGTATAAACATTTTGTAATTATTTTTTTACTTACATTTTTAATTTTTTAAGCATCCGTTTTCAAAAAATGCAACGTAAAGCAGCCGAATTTTGAAAAATGTTTGGGCGACGCTATCCAAGGTGCTATTAAGCTATTGAAAGACCCAATTACTGAACTGGGTTTACCCTGCATGGATCCGTATAAAGAGGAAAATATAACGCTGGAAATAGGAAATGCTACTGAGGGTTTGCGACAGGCATGGAAGAATTTAACAATTGCGGGCTTGAGCAAACCCATAGCTACGAATGCCAGGTAAAAAAATTCATCATTATAATTATAATACGTTTCATAAAATGTAAATATTGTAGGTGGACTTCTGGGTCTATTACCACCTTAGACCTCGAAGTAAGCTACGACCAAAAACTACTTTTCACCACTGACTATCAAGCCCACGGCGCAGTTCTTCTTCTCCCGGTTGACGTGTCTTCTTCATATACTTGCGAATTCGTAAAAGGTGGAAAGATTAAATCAACCTACAAGATCAAACCACCTAAAAGAAGAAACGGATATTTCCAACTAATTAGTACCAAGGTCTTATTTGTGCCCAAGAAAACGAAAGTTACTTTTGACCGTTTCTTTGAAAATCAGTGTTTAACTGATGCATTCAATGCGGAGATGAACGAGAATTGGGAAGGAATCTGGAAGTACATTGATGGGTTTTTAGGTGTTTATGACGCATATTTTGATGCTTTGTTCAGAAGCGTTTTGGATAAAGTTCCGGCTGATCAAATTTTTGATGGCTTGGAGTAGAACTGTGTGTTGTTGCGAATTACAGTGTTCTTAGTATGTATACAGAGTGTTTTTAAAATACATTTACAAAAAAACTGCTAACGTGTCTTGATGAATATACCCTAAAAATAAAATAAAGTTCTAATAAATGTCCAATGAAATAGCTACTTAATACAGTAATAAAATACACCGACATACGTAGTTAGTTTTAATTTGTAAATGTGTAGTTCAAAAATAATAATGTAAGTCCAAATATATATATATATATTATCTAAGTTTAAGTGTTGTAAGAAATCATATAAATAAAATATTAATGTGTAAAAAAAGTAATTTTTCTTACATCTTATAGCAATTATTGTATATAATCGTCGTCTGAGAACTTGTTTGATCTACAAGCAAGAGCGCACTCAGGCCAATATCGACTCTAAGCGTTCAGAAACGATTTGATTTATAAGCCACGATCCGTGATCTGATAACACATCCTAACCGGTTTCGACCATAATTTCTTGCTGTTTCAACTTTCGAATTCTCAGTTTTTCGAAATTTTAGTTTATCTATTATTCAATTTTTGGATTTTACAATTTCTCAATCTTTCAATTTTTCGGTTTTCAAATTTTCTTCTCTTCAATTTTACGATTTTATGACTTTTATAAACTCTTAATTTGTCAACTTTTCAATTAATTGATTTGTCAGGTTTTTTTGGTTTCTCAATTTTTCTGTATTTTCAGGTTTCGGTCTTTCAACTTCACTTTTTTGATTTTTCGATTTCTCAATTTTTCAATTTTTTAATTTCTTAGTTTTTGAACATTTCAGTTTTGGCATTTTTCAGTTTATTTGTTATTCAATTTTACGATTTTTAAATATTTCGATTTTTTAATTTTTCGAATTTGACTTTTATAAACTCCCAGTTTTTTGGACTTCACTTTTTTGACTTTTTGATTTCTTAATTTTTTAATTTTTTAGTTTTTGGATATTTCACTTTTTCGATTCATCAGTTTTTCTTCTATTTTTAAATTTTTCGAAATTTCAGTTTAAGGATTTTTCAGATTATTTATTATTCGATTTTTGGATTTTACAATTTTTCAATGTTTCAAGTTCTCAATTTTCAATTTTTCTCCTTTTCAATGTTACGATTTTTAAATATTCCGATTATTCAATTTTTCAATTTTTGACTTCTAAATTCGCAATCTTTCAATTAATCGATGTTTTGATTTTCCCATTTCTTGACTTGCGACTATTTCGATTTACCAGTTCTTCAATTCTTCAATTTTTCCATTTTTCAGGTTTCTGATTTTTCATTTTTTCGATTTTTTAAGGTTTCTATTTTTCGATATTTCAGTTTTAGGATTTTTCAATATTTTGATTCTTGTATTTTTCTATTTTTGACTTCTGGATTTTTCGATGTGTCGATTTTTTACTTTTTCGATTTTTTAATTTTTGAATTGTTGAGTTTTAGATTTTTCAGTCCTGATATTTTAATTCTTCAATATTTCTTAACCTTACAATTTTTCGACTTCCCCATTTTAAATGTTTTGTTTTTAAATTTTCCTTTTTTTCAAATTTTCGATTTGTTAATTTTTCATTCCCGATTTATCGAGATTTGATTGTTCAGTTTTTCGATTTATCAGCTTTTCAATTTTTTATTTTGCCTACTTCGGTTTTTCCAGTTTACCATTTATTCGTTTTTTTGTTTTTCCACTTTTCCAATTGTTCAACCTTTAAGTTTTCGTTTTTTCAATTTCTCAATTTTTGGACTTTTCGCCTTTATGACTTTCCGATTTCTCGTTCTTTTGATCTTTCAATCTCTCAATATTTGAATTTTTCAATTTTCCGAATTTTAAAGTTTTTTGAATTTTCGATTAATCGAGATTTGGATTTTTCGATATTTTGATTGTCAATGTCTTATTATCAATTTATCAATTATCAAATTTTTAACTTTTCGATTTATCGGTTTTTCGATTTTCCAGTTTTTCGATCATTCGATTTTTCAATTTTACGATTTTTAAATATTTGAGTTGTTTAATTTTTGACATTTATAAACTCTTAATTTGTCGATTTTTCGATTAATTAATTTTTCAGGTTTCGATTTTTCAACTTCAATTTTTTTATTTTTCATTTCTTCAATTCTTCAATTTTACAATTTTAAGTTTTGGTTTTTGGACTTCACTGTTTTGACTTTTCGATTTCTCTATTTTTTAATTTCTCTGTTTTTTTTTTGATATTTCAGTTTGGGATTTTTCACTTTTTCCAGTTCTTCAGTTTTTCTTTTATTTTTCAATTTTTCGAAATTTCAGTTTAGAGATTTTTCAGATTATTTATTATCCAATCTTTGGATTTTTCAATTTTTCGTTTTTTCAAGTTCCCGATTTTCAATTTTACGACTTCTCAAATTTCCGATATTTCAATTTTACACTTTTTTCAATTAATCGATGTTTTGATTTTCCCATTTCTTGACTTTCGACGGTTTCGACTAACCATTTCTCCAGTTCTTCAATTTTTCAGGTTTTTGAGTTTTCAATTTTTCTATTTTTTAAGGTTTCGATATTTCGACTTCACTTTTTTGATTTTTTGATTTCTGAATTTTTCGACTTTTTAGATTCTCAGTTTTTGGATATTTCAGTTTTCGAATTTTTCAGTTTTCCATTTTTCGGTTTTTCGATATTTCAATTTTAAGATTTTTCAATATTTCTATTCTTCGACTTTTCCATTTTTGATTTCTGGCTTTTCGATGTGTCGATTTTTTACTTTTTCGATTTTTAAATTTTAGAGTTCTCAGTTTTTTGAGATTCTAATATGTATTTAAAATTTTTGATTTTTCGATTTCTCGATTTTTCATTTCAGTTCGTCAATATTCCAATTTTTCAAATGTTTTGATTTCTTAATCTTACGATTGTTGGACTTCCCGGTTTTAGATTTTCTGTTTTTCAGTTGTCGTTTATTCAAACTCTCAATTTTTCGATTTTTCGATTTTGTGACTTTTCGATTTCTCGTTCTTTTGATCTTCCAATCTCTCAATATTTCAATTTTGCAATTTTCCTAATTTTTAAGTTTTCTGATCTCTCGATTTATCGAGATTTGGATTTTTAGTTATTTTGATTATCAATTTCTCAATTTTTCAATTTTTAACATTTCAATTTTTCGATTTTAAAATTTCTCAATTTTCCAATGTTTCAATTTTACGTTTTTCAGTTTCTCTCCTCTTAAATTTTACAACTTTTAAATACTTCGATTTTTCACTTACATATTTCAAATTTGCCTTTTATAAACTCTCGGTTTTTCGATTATTTATCATTTTTTTAGGTTTTTAATTTTTCAACTTTTTAAAGTATTGATTTTTCAATTTCATTTGTTGACTTTTTGATTTCTCAAATTTTCAATTTTTTAATTTCTCAGTTTAGGGATTTTTCATTTTATTATTCAATTTTTGGATTTCACAAATTTTCATTTTTCACTTTCTGGATTTTCAATTTTTCGATTTCTTAATTTTCCGATGTTTCAATTCTACGTTTTCCAAATTTTCCCCTTTCCAATGTTACGATTTTTAAACATTTCGATTATTCAATTTTTCAATTTTTGGCTTTTCAAAATTCTCAATTTTGCGATTTTTCAATTAATTTTCCCAATTCTTGACTTTTTGTTTCGATTTACTAGGTCTTCAATTCTTCAATTTTTCAGTTTTTCAGGTTTTCGATTGATTTTTTAATTTTTCAATATTTAAAATTTTAAATTTTTCGATTTCTCGATTTTAGATTTACTGTTTTTCAGTTGTCGTTTTTCCAAATTTTCGATTTTTAAAATTTTCAAATTTGACTTTTATAAACTCTCAATTTTTCGATTTTTCAATTAATAAATGTTTTGATTTTCCCATTTCTTGACTTTCGAGGGTTTCCATTTGCCCGTTCTTCAATTCTTTAATTTTTCGATTTTTCAGGTTTTTGATTTTTCATTTTTTCGATTTTTTAAGTTTACTATTTTTCGACTTCACTTTTTGATTTTTCGATTTTTCGGTTTTTCGATATTTCAGTATTGCCATTTTTCAATATTTCGATTTTTCGACTTTTCTATTTCTGATTTCTGGATTTTTCGATGTGTCTGTCTATACCTTTTTACTTTTTCGATTTTTCAATTTTTGGAGTTTTAAATTTTAGATTTTTCAGTCTATTGATATTTTAATTTTTCAATATTGGTTAATCTTTCGATTTTTCGATTTCATGACTTTTCGATTTCTCGTTCTTTTGGATTTTTTAACCTCCCAATATTTCAATTTTTCGATTTTCCGAATTTTTAAGTTTTCTGATTTCTCGATTTTGGCCTATTTCGGTTTCTCGGTTTTTCGATTTTCAGTTCTTCGATATTTCGATTTTTAGATTTCTCGATTTTTCGAAATTTCCATCATTTTAATTTTTCATTTTTTTTTCTCACTATTAAAATCATACAGTGTATCGAAGATAACCACAAAAATTGTCCACTAAAAACATTTAAAAATTCATACAAAGTAGAACAATGTATTTCCAAAACATAGTTGTTTTTATTGCACACATTTCGCAATCACCCTATATATCTATACTAAAGTATTTATTTTTCATATCAAAAAGTTCGTAATAGTCAGAACACAAACATTTTATTTATAAATACCAAGAACAAACTTATCTTGTTGTAGTGTGTTATAACATTAATTGGCTACTATTTAGGCCAATAACAAGACAATATAACCAGTTTAATAAAAACATCAGTTAAACCCGCTCGTTTTGACTAAATTAACGCTTTAATCGCCAAACCACGTCACAATCAAGAAAACAACAAATATTTTTCTTACCAAAGTCACTCATCGATTATAAAAACACGCTACCTCAGACAGACAGTTTCGCACCACTCTTGCTAAACATGAAACCCACAATCGTGTCCGTCTGTATTTTGACAGTTCTGAGTTTCTCTTCCTGTGCGGAACTACGTAAATTTGTAATTTTAATAATTATTTTTTCACTTAAATTGGCAATTTTTAAGCACCCAGTTTCGAAAAATGCAACATCAAGCACTTGGATTTTGAAAAATGTTTGAGTGACGCCATCCACGACGCCATCAAACAATTGAAAGACCCAATTCCTGAACTGGGTTTACCCAGCATAGATCCATTTAATATGAAAAGTATAAAGTTGGACTTGGGAGATAGTACTCAGAGTTTGCAGCAGATATGGAGCAACATTACAGTTCAAGGCTTGAGCAAACCAGCAGCTACAGATGCAAGGTAACAACAAATTCTATCTGACAATTTCAAGACTATCTTTTATTTTTTTTTACTAGATGGACTTCTGGTTCTATCATCACCTTAGACCTCGATGTGAGGTACGACCACACATTAGTTTTCACCACCGACTACGAAGCCCACGGTGCAGCTCTTCTTCTGGTGGTTGACATATTTTCTAAATTTACTTGCGATTTTGTGGGCGGCGGAAACGTTAAAGTGACTTACAAAATTCAACAACCTGAAAAAAGCAGCGGTTATTTCGAACTGATTAGTACCAAGGTCGTACTTGAACCCAAGCAAGTGAAATTTATGTATCACGATTTCTTTCAAAATCAGAGTATGACAGATGCAATAAACTCGGAGATAAACAAAAATTGGAAAGCAACCTGGGACTTCGTCCATGAGTTTGTGGGTGTTTACGATCCATATTTTGGTGCTTTGCTCAGAAGTATTTTGGAAAGAGTTCCGGCTGATCAAATTTTCGATGGGTTAAGTTAGAACCGTATTTTTATGATGTGTAGGTCTTTAAAATGAATAAATTGTAAATTATTCTACTAATGGAACGTGTTAATATATTCCTTGTGGTCTTATCTATTATAATTAGGTAATAACAAGAGTTCGAAAGTTGTATCAAAAGGTACCACTACAGTTATTATTTAATTGTTAACGAAACCACCAAGTGCTGTGGCAGATATATTGCACACTTGTTGATTGAAAAAATATTACGTTTGCTTTCAGACGCCACAAGATGTTTAGAGTAGGTCGGTAATTTAAAATGTGATTGTAGAAATTAGACATCAATTTCAAGGTGTTGTTAAACAATGTTAAAAAATATTTTTGAAGTGTCTCCTCAGGATCCAATATTACAAAAAGAATCATTAGGTTCGGAATTAGCATTTGTTCCAAAGCAATTATGAATTTATACTTATGTAAAATTATTTGGATTAAATTTAGAAACACAAGCAAAGGCTCTAAATCGGGATGTCGGTTTTAAATTAGTGGAGGAATTTGAATATAGCGTTAAAAAAGTAAAAGCGAAAGTAGGACAAATTGTGAATAACAAATCTAAGAAAGTATTTGGAAGAAATCATGGTTATATTTTATTAATTATTAGCAAAGGTAGCTAAAATACTAAGAGGTTTTAGTAATGGAATTAACATAGACCCAAATCTAATTAACACCCTTAAATATGCACCCATAAAATTAATAAACGTAGAGAGGATTTTTTTGTAGACCACTTCTGACGTATGAGTTATATAAAATTTTAAAGATTTGGGTTATGAAAATTTCTACAGCTAAATTACATTGAACAATTCAATCCCCATATTTATGAAATTTTATTATTATTAATTTCCATTTGAAAAATTGAAAAATCGAAACATTGAAAAAAAAATGGAAAAACTACATTGAAAAAAGAAAAATTAAAAAACCAGAACATGAAAAACCGATGAAAAAATGAAGGAAACAAAAAACCGAAACTAAAAATTGTAAACCGAAAAACTGAAAAATTGAAACATTCAAAATTTGGGAAATCAAAACACTGAAAACTTTAAAAATGAAAACTCGAAGGGCTACATTTTGTAGAGTTCAAAAAAAACAAAAAAAAATTAAAAATGAAAGAATTGAAAAACGAAAAATTGGAAACTCGAGAAATTTTGAATAAAAAAATTGCAAAATCTAAATACCGAAAAAACAAAAAAAAATGAAAAATTGAAAAATCACAAAGCGAAAAATTGAAAAAACAAAAAAATATATAATCATAACATTGAAAAATCGAATAACTGCGAAATAAAGAAAACAGCAAACTGAAATGAAAAATTGCAAGTCGAAAAATTGAAAAATGGAAATCTCGAGAAACAGATCAAAAAATAGAAAATTTCAGAAACTGGAAACAAAAAAAAAAGCAAAAATTGAAAAATTGCGAATCGAAAATTGGAAGAAATCAAAAATTAAATAAACGAAAAATTGAAAACGTCAGAAATTTTAAATCTAAAAATTGAAAAAATTAATAAATTGAAAAAACAAAAAATCATAAAACCATACCACTAAAAAATCGAGTAACCAAAAAGTAAAAAAATAAAACACTGAAACAAAAAACTGCAAAGCGAATAATTGAAAAAAATAAAAATGAAAAATTATAAAACAAAGAAAATAACCCGAAAAGAAAAATTGCAAATCGAAAATTGGAAGAAATCAAAAATTACAGAACGGAAAAATTGAAAATTGGAGAAATTTTAAATCGAAAAATTTCAAAATTTAAAAATTGGAGGATTTAAATAAACGAAAAATTGAAAAATCGCAAAGCAAAAAATTTTAAAAATTAAAATTAAAAAAAAAACAAAAAAATAGGAAACTGAAACGAAAAATTGCAAAACGAAAAATTGAAAAATAAAAAATTGGAGAAAACTCACGAACCAAATCTAAAAATTGAAAATTTCAGAAATTGGAAAATCGAAAAACTGAAAAATATAAACCTGAAAATGAAAAAAATTGAAAATTGAAAAATCTAAGAAACAAACAAAAATTAAAAACAGAAGAAATGAAAAAATTGAAAGATATAAAAATCGAATGGGAGAAATTGAAGAAAGAAAAAAATTAGAAAATTGAAAAATCAAGATATTATAAAATCATAAGACTGAAAAATCGAATAACTGAAAATTAAAGAAAATAAAAACTGAAACGAAAAATTGCAAATAAAAAAACTGAAAACTCGACAAACTTAACCTTTGTTAAAAATTTCAAAAGATGGAAAATTCCAAAACCGAAAAATTTAAACTTGAAAATTAAAAAAATTCCAAACCGAAAAATCGAAGAAACAAAAATAGAAACATTGAAGAAATAAAAAACTGAAAAATCTAAAAATCGAGAGGGAAATAGAAAAATAGAAAAATTATAAAATCAAAACTCGAGGAGCTGTATATTGTAAAATTGAACAAACACAAAAAAAAGATTAAAAATTGAAAAATGCAAACCAAAAATTGAAAAAATTGAGATTAAAGAAACAGAAAATTATAGGATCCGTACATAAAAAAGTCGAAAAATTATAAAAAAAGAAAGAAAATAAACTGAAGGGAAAAATTATAAATCGAAAATTGAAAGAAACCAAAAATTAAAGAATCGAAAAATTAAAGAATCGAAAAATTGAAAAACGAAAAATTGAAAATTGGAGAAATTTTAAATCGAAATATTGCAAAATTTACAAATTAAAAAAAATACGTATATAGAATGATAATATTGAAAAAACGAATAACGGAAAAATAAAGAAACTAAAAAACTGAAATAAAAATTGCAAATCGAAAAACCAAAGAAATAAAAAAAAAATGAAATTTGAAGAAATCAATAAGTTGAAAAAATCTAAAAATCGAATGGGAAATAGAAAAATCGAATAACTGAAAAATAAACAAAACAAAAAACTGAAATAAAAATTACAAATCAAAAAATTGAAAATTAAAAATTGAAAAGCGGGGAAACTTCATTTAAAAACTGAAAATTTCAAAAGTTGTAAAATTTGAACACCGAAGAAACAAACAAAAGTGGAAAATTAGAAATTGAAAACCCGGAAACTTAAATCTAAAAATTGGAAATTTCAAAAGTTGTAAAACTGAAAAACCGAGAAACAAAAAAAATGAAAATTGGAGAAATAAAAAAACTTTAAAAACCTAAAAATCCAAAAATAAAAACTCGAGGAGTTGCTTATTGTAAAACTGAACAAAGAAAAAAAAAATTAAAAAAGAAAAATTGCAGGTCGAAAAATTGAAAAAACTGAAATTGAGAAAACAGAAAATTGTAAGATCTGAACATAAAATGTCGAAAAATTATAAAAACAAATAAAATAAACCGAAAGGAAAGATCGCAAATCAAAAATTGGGAGAAATTAAAAATTAAAGAAATGAAAAACGGAAAAAATTTTAAATCGAAAAATCGCAAAATCTAAAAGCTGAAAAAACAAAATAAACGAAAAGTTGGAAAATCACAAAGCAAAAAATTAAAAAAAAAATAATTGAAAACACAAAAATTATGAAAACATTACATTGAAAAATCGAAAAACTAAAAAACAAAAAAAATATAAAACTGAAACGAAAAATTGCAAATCGAGGAATTTGAAAAATTTTAAATTAAAAACTCGAGAAACTTGAATCTAAAAATTGAAAATTTCAAAAGTTGGAAAATTGAAAAACTGACAAATTTAAACTTGAATATTCGGAAAATTGCAAAAAATAAAAAATTAAAAAAATACAAAAATTGAAAAATCTAAAGATCACATGGGAAATAGAAAAATTGAAAAATTAAAAAATAAAAAATGAAAACTCCAGGAGTTCCATATTGTAAAATTGAACAGAGAAAAATGAAAAATTCAAAAATTACAAGTCGAAAAATTGAAATTGAAAAAAAGTAAAACGGAGCATTGAAAAATAGAAAAATAGTAAAAATAAAGAAAGTAAAATCAGACAGAAAAAAATATCAAAGAAATCAAAAATTAAAAAATCGAAAATTTGAAAAAAAATGAGATCGAAAAAACAAAAAATTGTAAAATCGGAACATTGAAAACTCGAAAAATCACAAAAATAAAGCAAATAAACAAAAAAGAAAAATTGTAAATCGAAAATTGTGAAATTACAGAGTCAAAAAATTGGGAAACGAAAATTGTTAATTCGAGAAATTTTAATTCGAAAAATTGCAAAATCTAAAAATTGAAGGAACAAAAAAGTAACAAATTGAAAAATCGCAAAGCGAAAAATTGAGACAACAATCGCGAAGTGACAAATTGAAAAAATTACAAAATCATAAAATTGAAAATTTCAAAAGTTGGAAAATTGAAAAACTGAAAAATTTCAACTCAAAAATCCGAAAAGCTGCAAATCGAAAAACCGAAGAAACAAAAAAAATTAAAAAGTTGAAAATTTTAAAATTCTAATGGGAAATAGCAAAATAGAAAAATTAAAAAATGAAAAATTGCAGATCGAAAAATTGAAAAAAATGTGATTGGAAAAACAAAAACAAAAATTGCAATCCGAACTTGGAAGAAATCAAAAATGATAGAATCGAAAGATTAAAAAACAAAAATTGAAAACTGGAGAAATTTTAAAACGAAAAAATGCAAAATCTAAAAATTTATGGAACAAAAAAAGTAACAAATTGAAAAATCGCAAAGCGAAAAATTGAAGAAATCAATGTGGAGAAAACAAAAAATTATAGAATCATAATATTGAAAAATGGAATAATAAAAAAATAAAAAAACAAAAATTCAGCATGCGGTTTTTCAGAAAACGAAAACCTTTCATTGAAAATGTTCAAATAAAAAACAAACCCAATACTGAAAAATTCACTGGATTGTTGTTTTGATGTTTACAACCCTCATTTAATGGATTAAATCACCCATATCATTAAATGTTCGTTACATAATACACCATTAATTATTACGCAAAACTCGTTACATGACGTCATCACCAATAAGTACGCAACTATTAATAAATCTGCGTAATTTACAACAATTTCAACCACCATAAAAATGTTATTATAGTCCAACAATTTACAATAATCACTCCACAACACCCATGAAGACTTGCTAATGACTCTATTCGTATAACAAGCGACTCCCAACAACAAACTGGCACAAGGAAACCGACGTAACTTCTCGATTTTGCGGTCATTGCTAATCTTGCTTTACCGGAGTATAAAAACAGAACCTCTCACAACCAGTCCAGTCTCCAGCATCAATATGCGGCTTAATATTGCAACCACTTTCATGTCGATGCTGCTTGTATGCAGCTGCACCAAATTACGTAATTATAACAGCTTCCGCGATTTCACTCGCACTGTCGTACTTAAAACAATTTACAGCCTCCAGTTTCAAGAAATGTAACGCCAAAGATAGTGGGTTTAACAAATGTTTGAGTGAGGCGATTCACAATGCGATTCAACAGTTGAACAAGCCCATCCCGGCGCTGGGTTTACCCAGTTTGAACCCGTTTCGACTACCCACGTTCCAGATGAGAGTTGGGAATCGGAAGGAGGGTTTAGAGCAACTGTGGAAGAATGTGACTCTTCATGGTCTGACTAAACCAACAACAACGATAGCAAAGTAGCTAATTACAACGTGGTTAGATGATGGTACCGTAAGATATTTTCTAGATGGAGTTTTGGTTCCGAAAATACGTTACAACTGGATGTAAGCTTTCCAGTGGTCCAGTTCGACTCAGACTTTGAAGCCCATGGAAGGGTGGTTTTGTTGGCAGTAGATGTAGATACGACATTTAGAATCACTTATGGTGAGTACCACAATTAATAATTTCGGGATGTACCTAAGTTTTTTATTTTTAGAAAAACCCACCTTCAAACTGACCTTTAAGATGATTGAATCTGGTCAAGGTTCTAAACATTTCAAACTCGTCAGTACTAAATTGGACATGCTACCCCAAAAGGCGACGTTTGCTTATAATTTGTTCGACAATAAAGTTCTGAATGACCAGATTAACGAAGAATCGAGTAAAAAGTTTATGGAGACTTTGGGGTACATTAGGGAAGATTTGGCCGCTTTTGAACCCTTTTTCGGGAACTTGCTTAGTGCTGTCTTGGAGAAGGTACCCATCAGTGACCTTATTGATGGTCTCAACTAAAACTACTACTTTATTGTTGTCGATTTTGTAAATTTGGTGAACATATTTACGTTGTTATCGAATGAATAAGAAAGACAAAAATTCTCAAAACATGTTTATTGTATAATTAGTAGACAGAAATAATCTGAAAATTAGAAATCACAATAACTTATATACCGTCGAAAATATCAGAAATCGCCACTTTTTCTAACAAATTTCCAAACGGTGTCCCATATAACTTTGAGTATAACCCCAAATATTTCACCTTAAGGTGGCTAAAAATACTGTCCCACTTAACATTCATCTGGGCGTTGAAATTATCAGTCAAGACGCTATTTTCAAACAAATTAGTATACTGGAACACCACTTTGTCAAGTTTAACGTCAAAATCAGTCTTGATTATTTTGTAAAACTGTCGATTTTCTTTCTGGTGCTTCTCAAGGTTGAAAGTCAACGTAAATATTGGCTTTTCTGGAAAACAAATTCATAATTTAATAACACACTTTGAAAATACTTACTATAAGTGACAACGACTTTGCCTTTCGAGTCAATCGGCAGCAACAACACGGCACCTAAGGCCTCATAGTCGGCTTCATGGCGAATTTCGGGAAAAGAGCATTCCAAATTTAAAATATCCTTGTCAAAGTCCATCCTGTGCCGGAAAAATTTAAAACGACTTGTGGGAACAAAGACACTTGTTACCTTGCTTTAACATTTGTAATTTCGGTGTGACCATAAATTCCGACGTTGCTATATTTCTGTCGAACTCCTGTGGTAGCGTTACCTATGGTTATACCCTGTGGTAACGCAAGTGGTTCCAAATTCGGCAACCCATATTCGGGTACGGGTTTATCCAACTGTTTAATAGCGTCTCGAATCGCAGAACCCAAACACTGCTCGAAATCGGGTTTTTGTTTATCACATTTTTTGAAACTTTGAGCTACGAAAATAAATCTCAAACCAGTGGTACTTGTATACGTGTGGTACTTACGCAATTTCGAAGCACTACTAACACTTAAAAAAACTAAAATACTAACTAGCACGGTTTTCATGTTGGCGAGATTGTGAGTCGCGTCTTTCCGAGCTTCGTTTAAATATATACGAACAGGTAACTAAGGCGGAGAATACGGAGGGTAAACCTGCTGGATTGAAGGTGATTATTGACATTTTTCGGCTGAATGTCGCAGGTTATTAAAGAGGGAATCCGTTTAATGGGGACTGAAAACATCAGGTCGAATTTGCATAAAGAATTGCAAGAGAACACTCGTAAAAAACACTTTAATTTATGTAACAATAAAGGCGCATTATAATTTACAAACTTGAATACTTAATGACGTGTCATTTTTTTGATTATTGCGACGCCGATTGAAACGGATTTTAAACCCAACCAGGGGTTTAATTTTTGTTGACATGTCTTAATTTCTTTTTTTGTCTACCTACGTAAGTGAACATCTGTGCATTCATGTTACCATTGACCTTATTCAGTTGAATCGCGAACGTTAATTACTATTCGATTAACAATTTTTTATAGTTAACGTCGTCGTAGGTTAGTTCTTAATGAAAAAAGCTGGATTCGAACCTGTTTGAGTGTACAGTCATAAATCATTTTAACTGACCTGCTTATTTTTTATTCCGTTTTATAAGTTAATTTCTTGATGTAAGAATTTTTGTTACGTAAGCAATTAAAGTGCTTCTTCCAGTTTAATTTTTTTCTAGTTATAATTTTTTATACGCCGCTACTAATTAAATGAAGTTGAATCATAGTCGTAAAAAAATGGAAAAATACAAGCTGAGCCACAATCGGATATTTTGACTCAAAGCTTCAAACTTAAACACTATTTGTTTTTTTTTTAATACATCTATATAAGTATTTTGTATTTCTACATACCAATCTAATCTTAAAAGTAAATATGCTTAGCGAAGTTAAAAGTGTTATAAATACACAGGATGTTCCATTTGAGAAAATAAGAACACATTATGCAATTTTCGGAATTTAACTAAAGAAATTTTCTTATAAACTATTTAGACCTCGATTTATCGATATTTAGACGTTATTTAAATTTTAAATTTTACATGTTTTCAGTTTTTAATTCTTGTTTTCTCGATGTTTCAAATTTTCAATTTTTTGATGTCCAAATTTTTCCATTTCTCAATTCGATTTTTGAATTTTTCGATATTTTATTTTTCGATTTTTTAAATTCTACATTCTTCGATTTCCCGACTCGGTTTTGGATTGTTTAATTTTTCAATTTTTCGGTCTTTAAGTGATTCGATTTTCGATTTTTCAAATTCCAGCGTTTCTAAATTCATGATTTTACAATTTTTCGCTTTTTGATTGTCACATTTTTGGAGTTTTCGACTTTTCAATTTTTAATTTTTCATGTTTTTCAACTTTTCGATTTTTCAATTTTTCGATGTTTCAGTTTTGGGATTTTTCAGTTTTTCAATCTTTCAAGTTTTCTTAGATTTTTCAATTTTTTGATATTTCAGGTTTTGGATTTTTCAATATTTCGGTTCTTCAATTTTTTTATTTTTCAATTACTTTATTTTTTAATATTTCCTTTCTCGATTTTTAAATTTTAGACTTTTGAATTTTTCAATTGTTCGATTTTTTGTTCTCGCGATTTCTCGATTTTTCAATTTTTCAATACTATATTTTTTCTAATTTTAAATTTTACATTTTTAGATTTCTGGCTTTTTAAATTTTTTACTTTTTAAATTTTCAGTTTTTCAGTTTTCCGACTTTTCTATGTTTCAACTTGTCGATTTTCTTTTTAAATTTTCAGTTGTTCAGTTTTCCGACTTTTCGATGTTTCAACTTGTCGATTTCTCGATTTTTGAATTTTTCAATTCTTCAATTTTTGGAAATTTTAATTTTTCGATTTTTTAAATACTAGATTTTTCGATTTCTCGAAAGTTAAATGCTTCTTGAATTTTAAATTTCTTGAATTTTCGACTCTCGATTTCACGGTGTTTAAATTTTTTGAGTTTTCGGCTTTTCGATTCTTCAGTTTTGTAATTTTTCAGTTTGTCGCTTATTCAATTTTTCTATTTTTAAATTTAAAATGTTAGAGATTTCCTTTTTTCGTTTTTGAGTTTTCAGTTTTTCGATTTTCAATTTGTTCGTTTTAATTTTTTAATTTTTCGATTTGACGATTTTGTGATGTTTTGATTTTCAAATTTTGCAATTTTTTATTGTTTCGATTTTTCAGTGTTTCGATTTTTCACTTTTTCGATTTCATAACTTTTTGAGATTTCGGTTGTGGAATTTTTCAGTCTATCGATTTTTCAGATTGTTGCTTCTTGAATTTTTCGATTTTTAAATTTAAAATTTTCGATGTCCCGTTTTCTTGGTTTTTTGATTTTTTAGTTTTTCGCTCTTTAATTTCTCGTTTTTGAATTTTTAATTTTTGTAAAATTACAATTTTTCTAGTTTTAAATTTTACATTTTTAAATTTCTCGCTTTTTCAGTTTCAGTCGTTCAATTTTTCGATTTCTCGATTTATCCAGATTTCGATGTTATATGAATTTTAAATTTTTCAATTTTTAATTTTCTGTTTTTTTGTGCTATTTTGATGTTCCTATTTTGCGATTTCTTCAATTTTAGATTTTTAGACCTTTCAATTTTTTGATTTCTCGATTTTTGAACGTTTAATTTTTTAATTTTTGGAAATTTTAATTTTTCGAATTTTTGAGTTGTATTGAATTTAAAATTTTTCGATTTTTGGACATCTCGACTTTTCGATTTCCTGGTTTTTGGATTTTTCAAGTGTTCGGCTTTTCGATTTTTCAATTTTGTAATTTTTTCATGTTCCGATTCTTCGATTTTTCGACTTCATAACTTTTCGAGATTTGGATTGTGGAATTTTTTAATATCACAATTTTTCAGTTAGTCGTTTCTTCAATTTTCTGATTTTTTAAATTTTGAAAATTATATATCCCGTTTTTTTGGTTTTTTGAGTTTTTAGTTTTTCGCTTTTTAATACCTCTCGCTCTCTCTCTAATTTTTCTAGTTTTAAATTTTACAATTTTAAATTTCTCGCTTTTTCAATTTTGCAGTTTTTAAATTTTCAGCCGTTCAAGTTTTCGATTTCTCGATTTATCCAGACTTCGATGTTATTTGAATTTTAAATTTTTCAATTTTTAATTTTCTGTTTTTTTGTGCTAGGTATTTCGATGTCTCGATTTTTGGATTTTTCGATTTCTCGACTTCTCAATATTTTGATGTTCCTATTTTTCCATTTCTTGGATTTTAGATTTTTACACTTTTCAGCTTTTCGACTTTTCAAGTTTCCGACTTTTCGATGTTTCAATTTTTTGATTTCTCGATTTTTGAATGTTTCAATTTTTTTATTTTTTATGAATTTCAATTTTTCGAATTTTTGAATTGTGGTTTTTTGGATTTCTCGATTTATCGATTTCTCGATTTATCGATACTTCAACGTTTCTTGAATTTAAAATTTTTCGATTTTTGGAGTGTTCGGCTTTTCGATTTTTCAATTTTGCAATTTTTTCATGTTTCGATTCTTCGATTTTTCGATTTCATGATTTTTGGAAATTTGGATTGTGGAATTTTTTAATTTTTCGATTTGTCATTTTGTTACTTCTTTAATTTTTCTATTTTTTTAATTTTAAAATTTTTGAGATATTGTTTTTTCGTTTTTTAATATTTCAATTTTTTGATTTTTCAGGTTTCTGCTTTCTCTATTTTTCAACATTCAATTTTAGGAATTTTTCAAATTTTAAGAAATCTTTCAATTTCCGTATTTTTCAATTTTTCGATATTTTAATTTTCCGTTTTTCCATGTTTTGATTCTTTGATTTCTCGGTTTTTCCATTTTTCGACTTTCGGCTGTTTCGATTTTTCGGTTTTCCAATTTTTTGACATTTCAGATTTTGGGATTTTTCAACTTCTCAATATTTCAGGTTTTCGATTGTTCGATTTTTCCATTTTTTAAATGGATTTTTCGATAACCTATTTTTTTGATTTTCCAGTTTTAGGATTTTTTAAATTTTGGCATTTTTCGGTTTTTAAATTTTCTATTTACCGATTTTTCAGTTTTTCGAGTTTACGTTTAAAATTGATTGATGTTTCGAATTTTTTATTTATTGACATCTCAGGTTTCCGTCTTCTCCATTTTTTTTGATTTTTCAATTCTTCGATTTTCGATTTTTAACGTCTTGGTTATATTTTTCAATTTTTCGATATTTTAATTTTTCGATTTTTTAAATTTTTAATTTTTCGATTTTTTTGATGCTTCAGTTTGTATTTTACGCCACTGGTTTCTACTTAATATTGAATATCAGAATATATTCTGATTTTTTCCACAATTTTTGAAATTTAATTAAATAGATTTTCTTTCGATCACCAGAAAAGATCATTTTGTCAAGTTTTGGATTTTTCAGTTATTGAATTTTTTTATAAATATTTCAATTTTTCCATGTTTCAATTTCTCGACTTTCCGATTTCCCGGTTTTTAGATTTTTCGAGTTTTCGGTTTTCGATTTTTCAGTTTTGCAATTTTTCGACGTTTCGATTTTTCAACTTTTCGATTTTATAACTTTTCGAGATATCGGTTGTGGAATTTTTCAATCTATCGATTTTTCAGTTTGTTGCTTCAATTTTTCGATGTTTTAAATTTAAAATTGTCAATATCCCGTTTTTTTGTTTTTTTTTTAAGTTTTTAGTTTTTCGCTTTTTAATTTCTCGTTTTTCAATTTTTAAAATTTTTTAATATTTCAATTTTTCCAATTTTAAATTTTACATTTTTAGATTTCCCGATTTATCCAGATTTCGATGTTATTTGAATTTTAAATTTTTCAATTCTTAATTTTTTTATTTTTTTTTGTGCTAGGTTTCTAGGTATTTCGATCTGTTGATTTTTCGATTTTTCGATGTCTAGATTTCTCAATTATTCGATTTCTTGGTTTTTAAAATTTTAGACTTTTCAGCTTTTCAATTTTTCAATTTTCCGACTTTTCGATGTTTCAATTTTTTGGTTTCTAGATTTTTGAATGTTTCAATTTTTAAATATTCGGAAATTTTAATTTTTCGAATTTTTGAATTGTAGATTTTTCGATTTCTAGATTTATCGATACTTCAATGTTTCCTCCATTTAACATTTTTCGATTTTTCAACATCTCAACTGTTTGATTTACCGGTTTTTAGATTTTTCAAGTGCTCAGATTTTCGATTTTTCAATTTTGCAATTTTTTCATGTTTCGATTCTTCGATTTTTCGATTTCATAACTTTTTGGGGATTTGGATTGTGGATTTTTTTAATTCCTCGATTTTTCAGTTTGTTGCTTCTTCAATTATTTGATTTTTATATTTTAAAATTTTCTTGATATTGTTTTTTCGTTTTTTCATCTTTTAGTTTTTCGATTTTCAATTTCTCCTGTTTCAGTTTTTCAATTTTTCGAGTTTGTCATGTTTTGGTTTTCCAGTTTATTAATTTTTTAATATTTCAACCTTTCGACTTTTCGAATTTTCCGGTTTCTGTTTTCTTTATCAACATTCAATTTTAGAAATTTTTCAAATTTTATGGAATCTTTCAATTTCCGTATTTTTCAGTTGTTAGATATTTTAATTTTCCGTTTTTCCATGTTTTAATTTTTTGATTTCTTGGTTTTTCCATTTTTCGACTTTTGGCCGTTTCGATTTTTCTATTTTCCGATTTATCGGCATTTCAATTCTTGGGGATTTTCAACTTCTAAATATTTCAGCTTTTCGATTCTTCCATTTTACCATTTTTTAAATAGATTTTTCGATTACCTTTTTTTTTGATTTTTCAGTTTCTGGGTTTTTGACATTTTGCCATTTTTCGACTTTTAAATTTTCTGTTTATCGATTTTTCAATTCTTCCAGTTTACGTTTAGGATTGTTTGACTTTTCGATATTTCACTTTCTCGGTTTCTCAGGTTTCTTCTGCCTTTTTTTGATTTTTCAATTATTCGATTCTTCTCAACTTTTTAACATCTTGATTATGGGAATTTTTCGATTTCCGTGTTTTTCAATTTTTCAATTTTTTAATTTTCCGTTTTTCCACGGTTTGATTCTTTGATTTCTCGGTTTTTCTATTTCTCGACTTTCGACTCTTCCGATTTTTCGATTTTTTTGTTTCAATTTTTCCTTTTTTTATTTTCCAATTTTTCGACATTTCAGTTTTTGGGATTTTTCAACTTCTCCATATTTCAGCTTTTCGATTCTTCCATTTCTCCATTTTTTAAATGGATTGTTCGATTACCTATTTTTTTGATTTTTCAGTTTTTTTGATGTTTTAAATTTTGACATGTTTTGATTTTTAAATTTTCTATTTATCGATTTTTCAGTTTTTCGAGTTTACGTTTAAAATTGATTGATGTTTCGAATTTTTGATTTCTCGACATCTCAGGTTTCCGTCTTCTCCCTTTTTTTTTTATTTTTTGATTCTTCCATTTTCGATTTCTTTATTTTTTAGGTTTCCGGTCTCTCAACTTATTAACATCTTGATTATGGAAATTTTTCATCTTCTGTATTTTTCAATTTTTCGATTTTTTAAATTTTTTACTTTTCGATATTTTTGATGATTCAGTTTAGATTTTGGACTTTTCAGATTTCGATTTATCAGTTTTTCTATTTTTCGATTTCGAGTTGGGGTAAGTGTAGTTATTTACGCCACTGGTTCCTACTTAATGGAGATTATCAGAATATTTTCGGATTTTTTTCCACAATTTTTGAAATTTAAGTAAATAAATTTTCTTTCGATCACCAGAATTAGTTCATTTTGTCAATTTTTGGATTTTAAGTTTTTGATTTTTTAATATATCCATTTTTCGATGTTTCGATTTCTTGATGGTTCATTTTCCCGATTTTTGGGCTTTTAAATTTTTCGATTTTTCAAATTTTTTGGCTTTTCAAGTTTAGGCTAATTCGATTTCTTTTTTTTCGATTTTTCGACTTCTCGATGTTTCAATTTTTCCGTTTTTCAATATTTCGATTTTTCGACTATTCGATTGTTCAATTTCTGATTTTTCGTTTTTTAATTTTACGACTCTTCGATTTATTGATATTTTAGATTTCAGATTTTTCAACTTTTCAATTTTTAATTTATTCAGTTTGGGCTAGTTCTTTTTCTCTTTTTTTCGATTATTCGACTTCTCGATGTTCCAATTTTTCTGGTTTCCGATGTTTTAAATTTTCGATTTCTCGCTTTTTCGATTTTTTGACTTTTGGGTTTGTCGAGTTTCCGATGTTTAATTTTCCAAGTTTTCAATTTTTAATACTTCGATTTTTCAATTCTTGGCTAATTCGATTTTTCGACTTTTCGGTTTCTCAATATTTCAAATATTCGATTTTTCGGTTTTCAAATTTTTCGACATTTCAGTTTTGGGATTTTTCAGCTTGATAATTCTTCCATTTTTCGAGTTTTAAATGAATTTCTCGATTTTTTATTTTTCTAATTTTCAGTTTTTCGATTTTCAGTTTATCGTTTTTTCAATCAGAATATATTCCGATTTTGTTTTCGATAATTTTCGAAATCTAACTACAGTCATTTTCTTATAATTTTTGATCTACAGAAGGTTTTGGATTAAAAAAAATATATATTTTTTTTAAATGTTGCACCGCCAGAATTGAATTTTTGCCAACTTTGTCACAATCAAAATCTTTCAAAATTTTTCGTCAAAATGAAAAAAAAATTAAACAAAAATTCTAAAAAATGCAGTTAAATGCAAGAAAATTTCAAATCAGAAGCTAGCAACAACATTGAAATATTGGAAATACATAAATATAGAACCGTTTTTGGAAAAAATCAAACTTCAACACAAAATTCTTACATACTTATTATTTGAAGAAATTAAGCAAAACTAAAAGTACTCATACAATACATTTATAAGCTGAAGTTGTTTAAATCAATACAAATCACTTAACCAAAAATCTCAGAAACTGGAACTCTCTCTAAAAAGTTGTTAAAAAATGTACCGAAAAACGGTGCAAAGACCTTTTCTTTATATTTCAACCGGGTAAAAATTTGTAGCCATTTTTTAGACATGGCCTCATTCAGTGCATCGTTAAGACGCTGATCGTCGAACAACTTCTCAAAGTGGAAAGCCAGACTTCGAGGTTGCATGTCTATGTCACTGTTGACTACTTTGTAGTATTTCGTTTCTCTCATAAATTCTTCCAACATGAAGGTGAATGTGTACGTAGGCAGATCTAAAATATCACGAAATGAACAGCTGTAGTTTATGAATCCGCCTTGATTTTTACTAACCCCAAGTTATAACCACTGGTGTCATAATATCCACAGGTAAAAGAAATACTCTCCCTTGTGCTATGTATTCACCCCGGTAAAGCAGCTGGTGGTAAGTTACTTTAAGAGTTAAAACGTTTTTTCCAAAGTCCATGCTGTAAAAAAATTTTTATTGTCATATAAAGTGTAATCACGACTTGAAATGTTACCTTGCTGTGGTGTTTATTGGGTTTGAGAAACCTGTCGCCGTAAATTTGGTAAATTCTTGTCTTAGACCATCAGTACTATTTCCAAATGCGACTTTGCAGTTGTGTGGGAATTCAAGATGGGCCAAATTTGGAAGACCATAGTCTTCTAAAGGTTTGTCCAGTTGTGTGAAAGCATCGTTGATAGCTAGACTCAAGCACTGGTTAAAATCGCGTTCTTTTCTACTACATTTTCGAAAACTAGAAGCTTTAAAAATTATTTTGTAGAAAAAGTTTTTCACTTGGTAGGTACTCACGAAGTGAAATCCCCTCACATAGAGTCACTAAAACCACCACATACAACACAAAACTTTTCATTGTGGGTTTCAGGTGGTACTAAATGCAGCTTCTTTTCTTCGTATATTTATATACAAAGTTATCAAAGTGGGCTTTTATTGTAAACCTGATTCTGCAAGGTTATTGCCGTCTTGGTTTTTATTATGTTCCCATGAAAAATAAAGGGTTTAAGTATGTTTGAATAACTCCAGGTAGATGTAACTAAATGAGATAAAATGTTGGCTCATTTAAACCCGACAGGCTTAATAACCGAGTGTTTATTAGTCCTACCGTAAAAGACCCGATTTTATGTGCATCTTAAATCAAGTACTTATTCAAATTTTTGTGTTTTATTTTCTTTTATTCTTCCTTTTTTATGTTGACATTTCTGTTAAATCGAATACGAAAAACTAAAAATCGTGAATGTAATAGGATACATAAAATTTAAATTACGTTGATTGCATATTGCATTCTACAACTTTTCATATAAGAAAATTGCTATTATTTAGTAGCAATGGAATGACCTCATTTCCAAATTTTGCAATAGTGAATGTTATTTAAATTTTATAAAATAAGATACTCTACTTGTGGTTTATGAACGGTGTCGTGTTTTTAGCCTAGGCATCTAGATTTTTGGAAAAAAAAATCAAAATTGCTTAACTGCACCCTATACTGTATAATTTAATTTAAAAAATTTATCTGCTCGTGCCACAATTTTGTCGAATAAATGTTGTTTAAATGTTGTTTAAATGTTAAAAAAAACTTGTGGTTTATGAATCCGTCTTGAATTGTTCTGTTAGACATCGAGATCTTTTGAAAAAAAAAAAGTTTTGATTTTCCGGCTTTCTGATTTTTAGATTTCTCGATTTTCAACTTGCATTTTTTCAGTTTTTTGATTCTTCAGTTTTTCAATGTTTTAATTTCTCAATGTTTCAATTACCTGATTTTTTTAGTTTTCGATTACCCAATTTTTCAATTCTTCAATTTCTCGATTTTTCAAATTTTTGATTACTCGAGTTTTTATTTTTCAATTTCTCGCTTCTTCAATTTTTCAGTAATCAAATTTTGACGTTTTTAAATTTTTCTATTTTTCGAAATTTTGATTTTTCAATTCTTCGATTTTTAATTTTTTAATTTTCAAATTTTTAAATATATTTTTGGTTTTTCAATTTTTTGAAGTTTCGATTTCTGGATCTTTCGATTTTTCGACTTTCCGGTTTTTAAATTTTGCAATTTTTCGGTTTTTTAATTTTTAGATGTTTCAATTGTTCAATTTTTCAATTTTTCGATTTCAAAATTTCTATTTTTGTCTGCCCAATTTTCCGATATAGCAGTTTTAGAATTTTTAAATTTTTAGATTTTTCAATTCTCGGCGTTTCTAAATTTTCGATTTTACGATTTTTCGACTTTTCGAATTTTTGAGTTTCCTATTTATCGATTTTTCGACTTTCGGTTTTTTCAGTTTTTCAATTATTCAATTAATCGATTTTTCAAGATTTGACTTCCCGATTTTGCAATTTTTCGATGTTTCAGTTTTGGGATTTTCAGTATTTGGGTTTTTCAATTTTTCGATTTTTCAATTTTCGATTTTGTAATTTTAGATTTTTCGATTTTTTTATACTTGAATTTTTTGATGTTTAGATTTCTCAATTTTTCAATGTCTTATCAATGTTTTAATTTTACTAATTTTAAATTTTACATTTTTCGACTTCCCGATTTTAGATTTTTCGCTTTTTCAGTTTCTCAGTTTTTCGATTTTTCATATTTTTGATTTCTCTATAAATAGAGAAATCAAAAATTCAAATAACATCGAAATCTCGTTAAAACGAGATTTCGATGTTATTTGAATTTAAAATTCAAATTTCAACTTTTTAATTTTTCGATTTCTCGATTTTTGGATATTTTAATTTTTCGATTTCTCTATTTTCATGTTTTAATTTTTCGATTTTTTAAATTCTAAATTTTTTGATTTTTCCGTGTTTCAGTTTTTCAGTTCTTTGAACATTGAAAACTTATTAAATTTTTACAATTCTCGACCTTTCGATTTTTAGATTTCTCGGTTTTAAATTTTTCAGTTTTTTAATTTCTCAATCTTTCAATTTTTTGATTTGTCGAGATTTCGAGCTTTTTTGAATTACAAATTTTTCGATTTTGCGTCTTCTTTACTTTTCTATTGCTCGATTTTTCAAGTTTTCGAGGTTTTATTCGATTTATCGGATTTTAGAGTTTTCGACTTTTCGATTTTCAAATATTCAGTTGTGGAACTTTTTAATTTCCAGATTTATCAATTTTTCGATTTTTCAGTTTTTCAATTTTTCAATTTTTCGATTTTTCGTTTCATCCAAATTTCGATGAATTTGAATTAAAAACTTCCCAGTTTTTGATTTTTTGATTTTGTTGAGTTATTTCGATTTTTCAATGTTTCGATTTTTTGATTTCTCAATTTTTCAAATTTTCGATTCAATTTCTGTATTTTAATTTTTCGATTTTTAAAATACAGTTTTTTGAATTCTTGATTTCTTGTGATTTCAGTAATCATTTTTCGAATTTTTGAAAACTAAAATTTCTCGATCTTTAGATGTTCCGACTTGTCGGTTTTTGATTTTCGGGTTTTTCGATTTCTCGACTTTTCGATTTCTCGATTTCTGATATATTTCAATTTTTCAATTTTTCCATTTTTCGATTTTTCGATTTTAGACTTTTTGACATTTGGAATTTTCAATTTTTCGATTTTTCGATTTTTTAATTTTTCGTTTCTTCAATTTTTGGATATTTTAATCTTACGATTTACCAATTTTTCAATTTTTCTCTTTTTAAATTTTTCGATTTTTTAGTTTTTGGATTTTCAGTTTTTGAATTGTTCAATTTTTCAATTTCTCGGTTAATTGAAATTTCGATATATTTAAATTTAAAATTTTTCAGTTTAGTAATTTTTAATTTTTCAATTTTTTTTATGTATTCCGATTTTTCAATGTTTCGATTTTTGGATTTCTCGATTTTTTAAATTTCCGATAAAATTTTTGTACCTATATTTTAATTTCTCGATTTTTTAAGTTCCAGATTTTTTGATTTCTCGATTTCTTGTAATTTGTTTTTCATTCTTCGATTTTTTGAATACTGAAGTTTCTCAATCTTTAGATTTTTCGACTTCTCGGTTTTAGATTTTCAGATGTCTCGATTTCTCGATATTTCAATTTTTCGATTTCTCTATCTTTAGATTTTTCAACTTTTGGGATTTTTTATTTTTCGATTAATTTTTCGATTTTTTAATTTTTGGATATTTTAATTTTTCGATTTCTCAATTTTGCAATTTTCCGATTTGTCGATTAATCGAGATTTCGATGTTTTTTTATTTACAATTTTTCGATTTTTTTGTCTCGACTTAGAGTAGCAGTTCACGACTTTTCAATTTTTCATTTCTTCAATTTTTCGCTTCTTCAATCTTTTTGATTTTCCGAGGTTTCAATTTTTCGATTTCTCAACTCTTCATTTACCGATTTTCCGATTTTTCAGTTTTTCAGTTCTTCACTTTTCAGATTTTCAAATTTTTCGACTTTACAATTTCTCAATTTTTCATTTTTCGATTTTTCAGTTTTCGGAAATTTCTGTTTTTCGGTTCTTCAATTTTTCGATGTTTCAGTTTTAAGAATTTTCAATAGTTCGGTTATAAAATTTTTCGATTTTTCTAATTTAAAATTTTTTTTATCAATTTCTCGATGTCTTGATTTTTCAGTTTTTCGATTTTTTAATAATCATTACATTTTTCGGATTTTTAAATATGTATTACGTTTTTCAATTTTTTGAAATTTTGATTTCCCGATCTTTCGAAAAATCTAGAACCGAAAAATTGAAAAATAAATTTTTCGGTTCTAGATTTTTCGGTTTTTCTATTTTTCAATTTGTCGATTTTTCGATAGAGCAATTCACGATTTTTCAATATTTCGGTTATTTTGCTTCTTCAGTTTTTCAATTAATCAAGTTTTGACGTTTCTAAATTTTTCGATTTCTCGATATTTTGAATTTGCAGTCGTTTGATTTTTTAATTTTTTAATTTTTTTAATTTCTAATTCAGGTTTTCAATTTTTTGAAGTTTCGATTTCTCGATCTTTCGATTTTTCAACTTTCCGGGTTTTAAATTTTATAATTTTTCGGTTTCTCAATAGGTATATGAGATTTTTCAAATGTTCGATTTTTAAATTTTTCGATTACTCCATTTTGATTTTTGATTTCTCAATTTCCCGATGTAGCAGTTTTACAATTTTTAAATTTTTCGATTTTGTGACTTTCCTATTTCTCGATTTTTCGACTTTTGTTTTTTTTCAGTTCTTCAATTTTTCCATTTTAGGTTTTTCAATTTTTCAATTTTTCGAGTTTTTCGAATTTTCGATTTCTCAATTTTTCGATGTTTCAGTTTTGGGATTTTTCAATCCTTCAGTTTTTCTTAAATTCTTCAGTTTTTTGATTTACCGACTTTTCTATATTCCATTTTTGAGATTTTTCAGTATTTGGGTTCTCCAAATTTTCGATTTTTCGATTTTTCAATTTCTCTATTTTTCAATTTTTTTACCTTTTCGGTTTTTCAATTTTCGACTTTTTTATTTTAGAGTTACCGATTTTTTAATTGTTGGATTTTTTGATGTTTCGATTATTCGATTTTTCAATTTTTCAATATTTAATTTTTCAATTTTTGGGCTATTTCGATTTCTCGATTTTTCGATTTCTCGATTTTTGGATATTCTAAATTTTCGATTTTCTCAGTTCTAGATTTTTTGATTTTTCGGTATTTCAGTTTTTTCTTTGAATTTTTGAAAACTTATTAAATTTGTACATTTCTCGGTTTTATATTTTTCGGTTTTTCAATTTCTCAATCTTTCAATTTTTTCATTTGTCGAGATTTCGAGGTTTTTAGAATTATAAAATTTTCGATTTTGGGTCATCCTGACTTTTCTATTGGTCGATTTCTCGGTTTCTTGATATTTCGATTTCTCTATGTTTAAATTTTTCGTTTTCGTTGTTTCGATTATACGATTTATCGGATTTTAGATTTTTCGGCTTTCGATTTTTCGATTTTTCAAATATTCAGTTGTGGAATTATTCAATTTCCCGAATTATCAATTTTTCTATTTTTCGATTTTTCGTATCAGGAACTTTTCAGGAAACTTATTAAATTTGTACATTTCTCGGTTTTATATTTTTCCGTTTCTCAATTTCTCAATCTTTCAGTTTTTCT